CAGAATCTTCCAGTCAGTTGCCAAGGGAAGAAGGCAGAGCTGGCTTCCTGCTGCTGCCCAGCCTTCCTTGCCACCTGGGGGTCACTCTTGCTGCCTCTTAACGAGTTCTGCACCTCTAGAGTCCCAGACCTGCTGCTTCAGTGTCCTGGGAGATGGAGGATGGGTGATGGATGCAGCATACCAAGGAGACTGCAGATGACTTGGGATGGTGGGAGAAAGGAGGAGGAGGCCAGTCTGGCTAGCTAATGCTTCCTCCCTTCAGAGATTTACAGGAGATGCACCCCAGCTTGGTCATGAAGTTGCTTTGCTTCCACTGTGCAATGAGCTCCTCAGAAATCTTGAAGTCGGCCTGGACAAGATAGACCACACACACACACACACACACACACACAAACACACACACACACATACACACACGAAAAAAAATTAGCTATGTGGTTGGAACTACAAAGATACTCTCTTATACACCTCTTAACACTACTTACAATGTAACCTGGTTCAATTTTTCTAAGAGTAGTTTCCCTGGATTTAATCCCTAGCACTTCAATCAGAACAAAACAAAAACTTAAGTTCAAAAGCTTTCATGTTCACGACTCAGATAAGTTCACTGTAAAATTTAAGAAAATAATTATGAATGAGTACAAAGACCTTTATATACTAAGACATTATCATAATATCCCCCCCGCCCCACCTTTTTGGGCAATGCTGGGGATTGAACCCGGAGTCTTGCACATGCTAGGCAAGTGTTCTACCATTGAGCCATGACCCTAGCCCATCATACCATTCTAATAGTGAAAAACTGAGAATGACCTCAGTACCTAGTAAAGTTTTAGGTAAATTATGATAACTATGATAGACTACTATATAATGTGACCTCAGTATTTAAGATGGAAGTTTTCAGGCATAATTGAAAATTTAGGAAACAGAATAAACATATAGTATGAATCAAACTGTAAATGTTTCTCTCTATGCAGAGCAAAAGGCCAGAAAGAAAGAATCACTAAGGACATTTTTTAGTGTGTCTATGGCAGAACTATGATTAGTTCCATGAGGAGAGGCAAGTTTTGGTGCTCTGTTCATAGATGTAACCCAAGAACTTAGAAGACTGCTTGACAGATATGGACTTAGTATTTAATGAATGATTGAATGAATTCAGGGTTCACTAGGGGCAGGCCATAGGTAAGTGAATGTTCAGAGAGCAAGGAGACAATGAGAATTCTAAGCTTAAGGTCATCAAGAGGGACCCTAGGAGGTTTTTGACCCTGGCACTATCACCTCATTTTTCTTTTCTTTTGTGGTGGAGATTGAAGCCAGAGCCAAGTCGTGCCAGGCACTCTACCTTCAGCTATACCCAGCCCCTAACTCTTATCACCTCTGGTGACTGTATGGTCTTGCCAGGTATCCTGCCAGGTAAAATGGGGATAATCTCCATCAGCTCCTGTTATGTACAAAGAACAAATAGGGAAGTGTCTAACATCCTTCACAAAGTGCCTTGGATAATCTGTCTGTGCTCGGAATATGAGAGCTTCTTCCAAGACCCCAAGCCTCTCAGATTCAGGAAGGTCTGGAAAAAAAGGGGCTCAGATACAGGAAATCCCACCTGAAAAAGAGGCAGCTGCAGGTTCAGTAACAAGGCAGAGTGGAGGTAGACCAGGCAGCCCAGGCAAGAGGGGGAACAACTGCAGCATTTTACCTGCAATTTCTCAAAGACTTTCTTCTTGGGCTTGAGCTCCTCATCTGCCTGGCCCTTCTCGAATCCCTTTACAAACACCCGCTCGCCAGGAGCAGAGCCTGCAGGGGGGTCCAGAGGTTCAACCTGGCAGCTTGCACCTTCTCTGGAAGACACACAGACAGGGACAGGGTGAGGCTCTGGATGGCTTCCAAAGGCCATGGAGGCTATGGGCCTTTATAAGGGGCCCTAATGGTATTTAGGAGATCCTCAATGTAGTGACCAGGAGGTCCTTATTGAGTCACTATGTTTCTGGACACCACCACAGTCAACCGTGGCTATGTGGGGAGAGAGAAACCAAACTGGGTTTCTAGAGGAGGAAGTTGGAAATGCCCAAGGATGACTTCATAGCCAATCAGCTAGGTTCGAACCATGACTCCACCCCTTATTAGTTTTAAGACTTGGATATCCTCACACCTCTATTTCTTTTTAGTAAAATTAACTTTAGGTAAAGTGCTTCATTCAGAGTAATTAGTACAGTGACTCCTTCATACATTCTCTTTTGGTATCAATGAGGAAAAGAAGAGTTTTCTAAGGCTTCTTCCTGGCATGTGGAAGGGCATCATATGGGCCAATTTCCCACTCTCCTTGGCCTCCCTAGGTCCCAACCCAAGTCCTCACTCACACAGAAGCACACAGAAGCATGCCTTGGGACTCGACTCCTCTCATCTTCTGCGGTTTCAGATTGCACAACACTACCACCAGCCTGTCTTGCAGCTCTTCTTTGGGCACAAACTGCACCAGGCCGCTCACCACTGTCCGTGGCTCAGCTTCCCCCACATCAATCTTCTCCACATACAGGCTGTCTGCATCTGGGTGCTGCCAGCAAGAGATGTCAGGTGGGACAGTTTCCCAGTGTAGTGGACTGAGGGCTGGTTTAACTCAGTCTCCAGAAAGGGAATCTTCTAGGCCAGTGATGGCGAACCTTTCAGAGCTTTCAGTGATAACAAACAACGGGCTCTGGCATGCGTGCCATAGGTTTGCCACCACTGCTCTAGGGCTAACTTTATTTCCAGATCTCAGACAGAAGATAGCAGAACAGGCCTTGAAGGTACATTCTACTCCTAGCCAAGAGGCTGCATTTGAGGAAATGAATCTAAATGTTTGTGGAAGACTCTCTAACAGAGATTAAATGGCCTGGACTGTCAGTGGCTACCATTATCTGTACACATGCTGCACCAGCCGGTCCCAGGGGACTGGGAGGTGGAGAGAACAAGGGTTGGGCTCACCATCTTAGACAGGAGCATCAGCAGCCCTCGAAAGGTAGTCTGGGCAGCTGGGTCTATATAGTGAAAAGCAAATCAATGCTGTGGGAAAAAAGAGCAAAACAATGGTCCTCAGCTACTGGTTCCATGACCTGTCTCTGGGGAAAAGGAAGTCCTCCTCTGTCCACCACTGTCTTGAGGGGCAAAGTAGCTGATCCAAGATAAGACTCACAGCTGGTCCAGGCAAGCCAGTACAGACCAGGTAAGTCCAGCAAGCCAAACTTAATGGATAAACAAGTTTCCTCTGACTGACACCTGCCCCTCCCCACCCCTGCTCTCAGTTTCTGGCTGTTTGGTTGTGGAAGGTCCAGAGGCAGTGATGGCTACAGGAAGCCTGATGCATGGAATTAGATACCTGGGTTCTGACTTGCAACATGACCCCAGGATGTTACTTCCCCTCTCTAGACCTGGTTTCCTCCAGATGAAATCTGACCCATCTGCCTCTATAGGATGTGGTGAAAAACAAGTACCTTCTCCACACTAATGATTTTCCCCACACGGATATCCAGCCGGGATGGAATGACCTCTTCTGGTTCTGAATTCTTAGCGGGGCCTTTGGCAATGGGCTCTGGGAATGAGAAGAACCCCATGGGGTCAGATTCCCCTCTTCCCCATGGCAGGTCAGCTGCTGATCTCACCAAGATGAGGACACGGAGATTAGGCAGGATTTAGGAGAATCCTCAGAACCTAGCCACTGAGTTGCACTTCTGTAAAAACAGGGTCAGTGACCTTTTAGAAATGACATGTCAGATTTATTTTCTTTCTTTCTTTTTCTTTCTTTCCTCCCTTGCTTTCTTCCTTCCTTCTTTCTTTTTTCCTTTCCTTTCCTTTCTTTTTTTTCCTTTTCTGAGACAGTGTCTCACAATGTAGTTCAGACTGGTCTTGAACTCACTGTGTAGCCCAGACTGATCTCAAACTTTCAGTGATCCTCCTGCCTCAGCCTCTGGTGTGCTAGGATCACGGGCGTGCACCACAACACCTGGCCAGATTTTCATCTATTCTCTCCTTCAGTTACTAGGCTGGAGGGTAGGGGACAGTAGTAACTTTGCCACCTTTGGGTGTTTCCACTCATGCATCCCATAAGAATTTACTGAATCTTTTCTGGGAGGGTCACAAAAAGTTATCAATGCTAGCATCTTGGCACCATGGCTAAGTAGATGGCTAAGCCAGGCAGGAGAACTGGAAGGAACCTGGGAGAATCCAAAGATAAGCTCCTCTAAGAAGCTCTGCAGGCTCTTCCCGAGCACCTGTGTAATACACAATCACCCTATATCACCCTACATACCTATCTCTCTCCTACTAAACAGACTAGAAGGGTCAAAGTACACAGCTCACACCAGGTTCTCTGCGAGTGATGGTGTAACGGTGTTATTACTGCATAGTATTAACCAAACCAAATCATAATGAATCAAGTTCCATTCCAGGTGTCAATGGGATAAAACATTCTTGCACTTAGGACCTGCTGGGTTCTTGGCCCCTCGGTTTTAAGTCAGATGTGTTTCTGAGCCCCACTGATAGGCTCTTTCCTGATGGTCTCACCCCCTCGCTGGCCCTTCCCCTTCCCATTCCTTCCCCAGATAGCCTTACTCTGCTTTGAGGGATCTGGGTAGGCAGCACTGGCCAGCTTCTTCAGGGCAGGGGCATTAAATTTTTCCCGAATGGGATCTAGCAGCTTGTTCAGGGCAGCTTCAACAGAATTCTTCAGGTCTCCAGGATGTACAACCTGTAGAGATGACAAGACCTGGTGAGATGAGGCCTGGAACAGGGTACAGGACTCCAGAATTTACTCAGAATGTGCATATAGGATGCAGGAAGTTTCTTCCCAGCTGAGTCTTGATCCTCACAGCAGTCTTGTAAGACAGCAGAGAAAGAGAAATTCAGAAAGCCTAACTAACTTGTCTGAAGTCTTTTGACTCTCAGTACCATAGTGACTTGAGGGCTTTCAGACTCTAAATGTGTATTCGTCTAATTCAGGTGAATTAGACTCTCCATTTAGGCTTAGAGTAGTGGCATATACCCAGTGGTATTCATGAATAGAAAACGTTTACATAGGTAACCCCAGGGCCAAAGTCTGAGTGATAGAGAAGAATGCAAGGGCTTTGGCGTTAGACAGACCTGGATTAGATTTCCAACTAGCTGTGTGACTCCAAACTAGGCATGTAACCCACTAAAGTTTTGGCTTTTCACCTTACAGAATCAGGATAACAATAGCTATATCTCATAGAGTCAGAATGAGGATTAAGTCACATAAAGCAGGCAGAAATGGTGACAGTAGTGCTGGTACATGGCATACAGGTTGAACATCTCTGATCAGAAATGCTCCAAAGGCTGGGCCCCAACATGACAACACAAGGAAATACCTCACATCTGACTTCAGGTGTGTGCTGCAGTCAAAATGTAGGCACACTAGGGGCCAGGGATTTAGCTCAGTGGTTCTGCTGCCTGCCTTGCAAGTGCAAGGTCCCAAGTTCAATCCCCGGTACCAAAAAAAAAAAAAA